CTACATGGACCCAGACAATGGAAATTCAATTTGGATACAAAAAATGTATGAGTAGGATATCCTGTGTAATTTCATACCATATATTTTGATTTTGTAAGAGTCATTTAATACACCTAATTTCTGTAGATACTCGACCAGCCAATTATTCACTCTCAATTCACTTCCCCTACTTCCAACAGGGACAATGTCATGAACAATGACATATTTTCAAATGTTTCTAAGATAAATTTGGTACAGGCGCAACATAATGGTTTGAATCTTTTCAGTTTCAACGCACTACAAACGCGCCCAGCAGGTATCATTTACAGGCATAGAGGCTCTCAGTAGACCCGCACATGCAAAAGGTTTATCTGAGCTGCCAACGTTCTGGCCAGGGCGCACAGGGATTCCACCAACGCTGTCTACATTTCTAAGTGGTGAGCTTACACTGATTGGTGTAGCGGAAGGGAGATTGATCCATACCATCTCTCTATTTGCCAGGTAGCACACTCCTTCATCCACCTGTTTGACGAAGTGGGTTTGTCCTAGCAGAATCGCTGAATAATGCCTACAGTTCAAAATAGTCATTTTTACTGACCGGAGTCTATGGTGGGTATGAACTGTGTGAATGGGCGGGTTCGGAGAATCAGAAATTGTTTGTAATCAAGACTTTTTTTTAAACATTTTCTTAACAATTGTTCAATCATACCTGAAATGATTGTGTTTCAGGGTGGTAACTTGGTCCTAACATCACTCATGGTGGGTTAATAAGACATGTCATTTTGTTTCATAATTGATACAAATTGCTAGGCTGGTGGCCATCTAATATTTTCGGAAATTGTGTACCATTTTCATTCATATGTGTCACATACATCATACATATAAGAATACATGTTCATATGATTTCAATAAAACTAATGGTCATTTTTTTCAAAATATTTACAAAAAAATAATTTAATGTGTCATCAACCATATCTCAGACATGGTTTTATTCAAGCTATGTATTAACATCCCACGCGATGAGGAAGGTGTTTTGTTACACGTCGATTTGATTCAAAATGGCCGTTTTGCAGCCATGTTGTGTTTTTATGAGAAGCAGACCAGACTAGCCCCACATCAACTAATTTTGCTTCCCAGCCCAAAACACCTTACGTTTGTATAATTATTTGTTATTATTATTCATTATGTATTATTATATAAACCAATCTGAACTCCCAAGAAACCAAATAGCCTGGAAAGCTTTGGTTTTCTGCTCACTTTTTATTCAGGGTATCTGTGTAAATTGTCTACAACTTCATCCAACCAAATACAATTCACATTCACATAACTCTCCACCAGGATCTCCAACCAATTAGAACTTTCCGTACTAGAAAGTGACTTGTAACATGAGTTTTGATTGGTTAGTCATTTGGTCAGATGTACACTAATGACCATTTTATGATAAGTGACTGAAGTATTGTTCTCATTAAAGTCACATTCATAGTCTTTGATATGGGACCCATATACAATGTATACAAAGTGTGTAAAAACATTGTTTGTCTCCATAAATTCAAAACACATGCTGCATGATGACTCTGTAAAGCACTTTTTAATTTTTCCTGATTATAACATTTACGAAGAGTCATTACATAAAAAGTGACGTGCATTTTCAATATGTTGTGTTTCTTCGCTTTATTTCAGATGAACTAACTACTCAACTCAAACATTCCGGTGCTCAATGGATGATAACGACATCTGAGTTGGCTGGTAAGGCCAAGCAGGTAGCACAAAGGGTGTCTGGGATTAAGGTAAGTATATATCAACAGAACGCCATCTGGGTTAGCTGATAAGACCAGATAGGCAGCACAAAGGGTGTCTGAGATCAAGGTAAGTATACATCATCATAATGTCATCTGATTTGGCTGGTAAGGCCAGACAGGCAGTACTGAGGATGTCCAGGATTAAGGTAAGTATACATCAACAGAATGCCATTTAAGTTGGCTGGTAAGACTAGACTTTGTCGAGCGGACCTTATCATATGATTGTCCGTCAGCGTCTCTGTCAATGTTTTACTTTTTCGTCTTCTTCTTGAAAACTACAAGCCTGAATGCTTTGATACTTGGTGTATATGTACCTTGGGTAGGCCTTCCTTAGATTTGTTCATTTCATGATATCTTTAATTCTCTAATTTTGACTAATATTTTTGTCATTTTTGGTAAAAAAAGACATTTTCGACTTCTTGTTGAAAACAGGAAGTCCAATTGCTTTGATACTATACATACTGTTCATTTTTTAATGATATGTTCAGTTCATTCATTGAAATGTGCATTGCTGACAGCGGAGCTATCTCTGCTTGTTTAAAATTGTTGTTCAGTTTCCATCTCTCTACATGCATAACACTGATGGCATTTCATCTTACACATATGTCATCATGTCACAACTATTGACATGCATTCATTTCAAATTGTTTCAAAATGATTGGCTTGTAGTTCTTCTAGTAAAAATAAATCGTAAAAAGTATTTCAACATTTTTAGAAAACTCATGGCTCTCATGAATGGATTTGGTACAAACATAACTGGAAGATCCAGATCCTGGAATCGATGGCATTTCTAGTATACTTGTATTTACATCATGTAAGCTACATACTAAGGGACATGAGTGTACATGTACTCTCACAGTTTTCCAATTTAAGTAATTTTATCTTACAATGGTAACTGTTCCATGTCATGATGACTGATTTTTCATGGGGTATCAGTTTCGTTATAAATTTCTCATTATTTTAGGCTTTGTATGTGATTGGTGATGAATCCGTGGAAGGATGTCGATCTTTCGCCGCTGACTTAATGGAGGATGACGGATCAGCGTTTCCTACCGATGTTCGAATTAACCCAGCGGAAGATGTCGTTGCTTTACCATATTCAAGCGGTACAACTGGTTTACCGAAAGGTGTGATGTTGACACATGGAAACATGGTTTGTAATCTCCATCAGATTAGGTTAGTCATACCGATCTAATGCCTGATATCATGCCTTGTATTAAAACACCCAGTACATAATATGACGTCATATTACGAGATTATCGCAACAGGGGTTGTACATTTCATCACTTGTGGTTTTGCATCCAGGTCTGTAGAGAGCACCGACTATTAAAATTCATTGAAATTTGTCACGTTTGTAAATTTACCAGGGACTCTGAGTTTCCATCCCAAAAGGCTAAACTCTCTTAGAATGCCTCATTACTGTACACCCATTTATTTTCACTGACAATTAATTTAACTATTTTTGATGTGCGAGCATATTCACTGTTCACAAATTCACATATCAACGAAAATAGCACAATTTAAACCAGTCAATAATTAATGCATTTACAGTGTCGCATACGACTTGTTTACCACTTCCGTGTGACTGAGAATGTTCTAGAACCGTACTATGTCTGGGTGGAATTTTTAGATGTTGATTGAATAGGTAATATGACACTGTAGAAGGCAATAGAAGGTAATGGAACATTCTAGAAATTTGTAGTATGTTCCAGACTCATTATGTATGCTGATATAATGGTCTATTTATAGACAGTGTGGGTATATATAGATCATATACTGAGATCAGATCGGAGATCTTGTTGGAGTTTAAGTATCTAGTTATTGGAGGTTTGGAGTTTTACCGAGTTATTGTACTTGATGTTTGCAGAGTATAATAATACCAGTACCAGTTGAAACCTCATCTTTTGACTCCGTGTTCGTATGTAATCATCGCCGCCAGGGAAGTCTTTATGTTACTGTCGCCATCTTGGTATTTGAACCATCACACCTGTACTATACCAATTACGGTAATATTACGTTGCGTGTGACATACAGTATTTTGTGTAAATTCCTATGATAAATTCCGACAAAAATGAGTGTCGTCTGCAATGGCTTGCTTGTGAATGCAGAAGATTTGATGATCGACAATCACGATGTTAATTAGTGTTATACAAAACCTCAATTTCGCTAACTCACTAACTTGAATTTTGATAAAAATTTTAACCATTATAAAATAAAAACATCATGTTTTGCCTGTAGTTACACGTAATCCAAAATGTCTGTACAATAGATGATATGGGGTACAGTAAAGGAGTTGTACAGGAATATTAGAAAATAGACTGGGGAACACATTGATGAATTTGAAAAAAATAAATCCAATTTTAGGGACAAAGTTTTTACGGATGTGTTTAATGTTGGAATTGTGATCTATATTCACTCCCAAGTACTTAGCTATGCGAATGCCTTCTACTGGTGAACCACAAGCATTCAAGAAATCCACGTGACTGCACTGCTCCTAGGGGTGTGTAAATTATTGTATTGGTCTGTCAATATTGACTGTCACGTTTGTTTGCATTGCACCACTTGTACACTCTTTGGAATTCTTGAAGCTGACTAGGACATACCGTATGCATGTAGAAAAGAGGGGAGAGATAAAAAATAGTGGTGTCCCTATAGTGGTATGAGGGTCAATAGTCGCATACTAGCCACCAATACCTTTGAGATATTTAAATCTGAATGATGACAACTATCACAAACATGCAAAACTTGTTTTCCATGTCATTATGACAATAACTCAAGTTTATTTAATTCTCAGAACCCCAGGATTACTGGATTTTTCAGTTGATGATGTTATACTGTGCGTTTTACCATTCTATCACTCCTATGGAATGGTTGCTGTGCTTGCCAATGCATTAAGTCAAGGAGCAAAACTAGTCACAATGCCAAAATTTGAACCTCAAAAATTTCTGCAACTCATTGAAAAATACAAGGTAATGATGATAATAATTCTCAAATTTGTATGTTATGCTGTTTTATGAATTCAAAGCAATCAATGCATGGAGGCAGTGTTGTATTTACTGTAGTATGCCTGTTTTCTGACTCCAAAGTGATGATCTGTATCCATCACATAATATTACGGTGAGGGCGCCCCACATTCTGAATTCAAAATGAGGCTTGGAACACCATAGGTAATTTTTATGTTGAGCCTCTTATTCTCATCATATTGTATATATTATTTTGCAGATAACACAAGGTCTGTTTGTTCCGCCAATAATTTTGTTTCTAATAAAACACCCAATGGTTGATCAGTATGATCTGTCTAGTCTTGTATATATATTAAGTGCAGCGGCACCTCTCGGTCCCGAACATATCACTGAACTCAAGAAAAAACTAAAGAATGAAAATCTAATTGTGAGACAAGGTATATACATCAATCCCTTGATATCGTATCCATAAATGGTATATATATTATTACAAGCACAAGCCAAGTTATTCCCTGTTGAACAGAAAATATGGCTTGTGTTGTCTGTGAGCGTGAAGACTCACACCGCCATGAATGCACCACAACCTTATGGAAGACACAAGTGATAACTCAGTTTTTTGTCTTCATAATGAGCAATATAAGTCCAAATAGTATGTTTAGTCACCGAATAAACAGTTATGATTATCATGTTCATGATATAAATGTTCATTGCACATTTATGTTTTTCCAGACCATGGATTTTCACCTTGCTAAAAATGCATTATTTACATGACACGCCTTCAAAACAGACAAATGAAAATAATTCAACAACTTGGCTTGTGCTTGGGATTGGGCTTGTGTCTCTGACTTGTAGTGATACTGCTCTTACGTTACTTGAGTCATATATTTTCCCCAGCTGAATAAAGGATAATATTAGGAAATAATATAAAATCACTTAACAGAGTGAAGACGATCAATTTTAATTAGTGACAAATGTAAAATGTACTTTTACTTGTATATGGCCAGGTATGTATAATTATTATCAGGAACTGAAAAAACATGTAAGGACCGACCAAACATTTGCTATATACAATCACCATTCTGCCTCTATGCATAATTAGTCAAGATCTGATTCAGACGGCGTAATGGCGGCCATTTTTGTGCTGAAAAATCATCAAAAATCAAACATTTCTGGCTATTTACAGATTGATTTTGTTTAAACTAGGGACCATGATGCGCATCATTCTTTTATCCGAGTGAAATTTAAAATGGCCGACTGGCGGCCATTTGTTTTAATTGATGCTGTGCCAGAGCAATATCTCAAGGGCAAGTACTTGTTTGATGATCAGATACAAGATGACTGAATGTCAGTCATTTTATTGTAACAGCTTCTGAATCCATATCTCTGACATGTTTATGTTCAAACTATATTAATATATACTATAACAAAACTATATATCTTAAGTTTGATAACTGACGGGGACTGTGCCATGCATGACAGGGACTGTGCCATGCATGACAGGGACTGTGCCATGCATGACAGGGACTGTGCCATGCATGGCTTGTTTGTTTTTTAATAACCTCAGTGGTTCTGTAATAATGATAATTTATTGACACACCATATGAACGTTATACAGCAGTATGTTCATTAAAATGGAATATACATAATTTGCAAAAGCTATTATAAGTTTAGCGTCTGAAGCACTTGATAAATAATTTGCATTCTTGATTTTATTCAAATTTATCAAACTCTAAAGGTAATTTTGCAAAAGAATGGTAATGCAAACTAAAACTGGAAAACAAATCTTTTTTTAGTAATGATGCAAGATCTTTATCGTTATATAATGTTTTGACAGGATATGGATTGACTGAAACTAGTACTGCTTCAAACATCTGTTCCCGGTATGAAGAATTTCATCCTGGTTCCGTTGGACCATTATTACCAAACACACTTGGCAAGGTACAAGTCATTTTACACCTGCTGTTGGCCCTTTCACTTCCATTGTTGACTTTCTCGCTTCCACTGTTGTCTCACTTCCATTGACCACCCTCCCACTTTTATTGTTGACCCTCTCACTTCTATTGTTGACTTTCTCACTTCCACATTGACCCTCTCACTTCCACATTGACCCTTTCATTTTACTATTAAGGCCATAGAAAGCAAAAATGAGTTGGTCCGGCCATCCATCGAGAGCCGTAGGCCCGATGCATATGATGACGTGGGCCAAAGGAAGCATTTATTTATTAACCTCCAACACTCACTTACAATCACTGTCATGATGAATATAGTTTTATTCAAATTATTTTATTATTCTAGGTAGTTGATCTTAAGACAGGAGAAAATCTTGCAGCTGGTCAAGATGGTGAAATCTGCCTCCGTGGACCCCAGATCATGAAAGGCTATCTAAATAATATACAAGCAACAAACATGACAGTAAAAGACGGATGGTTATATACTGGTAATATAATTGTACATTGTAACATTTTCTTTCTACATTGATGATATTTAATGTTGGTCACATTTATACAGTGGCTTCATTGTATCCTCATTCAGTTGGCACGCTCACCTATTCACCTTCCACTAATTTCCACGTGCATCATTCGAACATTATTCTGATCACTAGTGTGACAGTGGTTCATCTTAAAACTGCAATAAGCGAAATGTTCTTATAAAGCCACAAGTGAATATTCAGGCAGAGAATTATTTTAATAATTAAAATGTGTATTTTTGATAAAATGCATAAAATTTATATAATTTAGCAATTCAAAAACACTGTTCAAAATGTATATATAACAGAAAAAAGTGAAGAAGCAATCGCACATTGTTGAACTTAACAACACTATACTAATGTTAGATTGTGAAAAGGTGATGTAAAATACTTTATTTTAGCTGGAATCGATTATTTTTACTGAAAAAAACCCTAGTGGCAGCCATGTTTTTATTATTAGAATACGCTTATGCGCGTAATAATTCCATATTTGGAATTCGCATTTCCTAATATGGTAGGACGAAAATACCCTGTAAAATGTTGCAAAATTACGGCATGCTGTAGCTTATGACATTACGATTACAGATGTATAATTATAATAATATTTAATATCCGCAGTGAACAATGCTGTTATTTTATCTTCAGGTGTGAACAGCTGGTTCTTGCCGAACGAGTCACTATGAAAAATCAAACGTACAGGCAAAATGTATATAAGTGCGATGGCCCATATCGGCCCTATTTTGGTTGCTGAACTCAGTATGGATCATTATGAGGGAAGTAAATGCAAATTTTTGAATTTCTGTTTTGCCCTAGGTGATATTGGTCACTATGACAACGATGGTCACTTTTATATTGTTGGCCGATTGAAAGAACTGATCAAATATAAAGGCTTCCAGGTATGAATACAAGAATTTTTTTTGTCAACAATCGTCATAGTTTAATAATTTGTACCTTCTGAGGGGTAAGGGGGTAATTTTGAAGGGAGAGGAGTAAAGTCTACACAGAAAAAACATTGATTAACAATTCTACATTTTAAAATTTATAGGAAGTATTATAGAAAATGCAAACCCACACATTTAATAGCAGAAAGCCAAACAATAATCACAAAACAATGTTGATAAAAACTAAAAGAAAGAAACAAATAATTTGCTGTTTTTCAAATGTTTTCAAATGGTTCACTTTCTAATAACTTACATAATCAATCTACCAATCATATGTTGATACACTGTGATAACATATTCTATTGGCCAATCAGAATGCTGGATACACTGATTACATATTCTAGTAGCCAATCAGAATACTGCATACAATAATTACATATTCTAGTAGCCAATCGGAATACTTCATACATTGATTACATATTCTAGTAGCCAATCAGTATACTGCATCTTAGTTAAAAAGCCTCACTTAATATTGGACTGAAAGTTTAAAAGAAATAGAAATTCATTGAAAAGGGGAACATGCATTTAATTTGATTTTCAGTGGATTTTACAATAAGTTTAGGTTATGAACGGCAACAAAGGTAATTGTTAATGAATACAAGGCCTCTTTGGGAAATTAACATATTTGGCGGAAGATAATTGTCGCATACGACTTGTTTACCACTTCCGTGTGACTGAGAATGTTCTAGAACCGTACTGTGTCTGGGTGGAATTTTTAGAAGCTGGTTGAATAGGTAATAGGACACTGTAGAAGGCAATAGAAGGTAATGGAACATTCTAGAAATTTGTAGTAAATTCCAGACTCATTATGTATGCTGTAATGGTCTATTTATAGACAGTGTGGGTATATATAGGGGAGTTGTTCATCACTGAGATCAGATCGGAGATCTCGTTGAATTGTATTG